GCAGCCCCATTGATTTGAATTAATTCAAGTTGATCAGAAGGTATCTGATTCTTTACTAATTCCATATTTACTGCATCCCTTCCCCTAATTTCACTAGCTGTTTTTTGTGTAATGACTGAAGTAAAGCAGGCATTGAGTAGCTCTGCCTTCCTATCATCTTTCATTACCAGTTCACCTTCTTCACCGGACCCAGACTGTTCTTGATCTTTCTTTTTTATCTGACATGTTTGAATACCTTCTTGTCATCTCTAATATTTCTTGCCAGTTGCAACTTCTTTGCCTTGGCTTTCCTGATTTTGGCCCCACACACTTGTGCTATTCCTATGTATACTACGTGACTTCCTTGCTGACAGGCTCTTCCATTTCCTGTATGTAGCCCTTTTGATTTTTAGATCATTAAAAGCTCTGTGTACAGTCACATTTGGACTCCGGTGGCTCTTATCTTTCCACTGCATTGCAACAGCTTGATATTGAGCCATTCATAATACATCTTTTAAGGATTGCCAGCCCCCTTCGATTTCTTTTCTTAATTGGTCTTTCCATGGGACCTTGCCTAATATGTCTCTGAGCTGGCTGAAATCTGACTTTCTGAGAGCTGTGAATTATGATGGGAAGTTATTCAAACCTTCACTGACTTATCCAGTATTCTTCCAATGGGATCATTCTGACACAGTTCAGAACAATAAAGCATCCAAAGTTCTGTGTGACACTGAACAGGGACCTACAACATGCAACACACACCCTTTTTTATATTGGGGAAAGTGCTCCTTTACACCTGTCTTTCTCCTTATTTCCCCTGATCCTTATAATACTAAGGAAGATTCAACAAAACAGATCCAAAGTGATCTTAGTCATGATCATCTAGCCTGGGCAAAACTGAGCTTTTGGCTCCCGCTTACTCTTCAGCCAGTTCTGATATCTTGTCTGAGCAGAATAGAATAATGCTCTCAAATCTCAAGTTATTTCTACTAATAGTATTACTGCTAGATTTCAGTTATTTTAGAATTTCTTTAGTTTCTGATGAAATTAAAGCTGTTCTTAGCTGCCACCAACATCTACTTAGCTGTTATATATGCCTACCATATCACTGTGAAAGTGATCATGAAATTTAACCATCCCCTCTTGGAATATACATTAAAGGCATGTTACAAACTTTTACCTTCCTGGGATCCTGCTGATCCTTGGTACTTGTGGCGCTACCCAAACTCACAGAAGGGTCCTTTAAGTTCATGGGAGTGGTATGTACCACCTCTTCCCAAAGCTACCAATCTTCCTAGCCATTATATCAGTCAGAAGGGCTTGGAATTATAGGCCCCAATGACCTTATATTTATTACATTTCACAAAGACAATGTGATATGTAGACTATGACCAAAATTTCTGCCAAAAACAGTATCAGAATTTCACTTCAGTTTATATCAGTTTCTGCATTTTCCCCAGAATCCCCATAGGCATGATGGAGAAAGGAGGATTACTGCTCTGTGTATGTGCCATAGTGCTACTGACTCATGGACAATAAAGTAAGGTGACCTGGAACCTGATACTAACCTATACCTTGGACAACTGAACTGTTCCACAGAAGAGTAGAGGGAATCAAACAAAGGTTTCCCACCTACAGAAAATCTACATAAGGTTGAGGAGGAAAACAATGATTGTCTTCAGCTTCCTTCACCTCCATCTCCCCGCCCCAAAGCGATACTTGAAAATGACTGGAAATAAAAGGATTGCAACAGGATGGATGTGGGAGTGATGAGAACTGGTAGATCCAAGCTAAGAGTTACCTGGCCTGGAAAGGACCCTACCTGAAATAATTACTAGGGTGAAAAATTATTGTGACTAGTTTTAGTGAAACTAGCTTAGACTGAGTGCTCTGTATTATTTTCTTAGTAATCAGCTTTTTCTGTTTGCTATCTCTTTGACCACTTAAATTTGTTAACTATGAAAAAGTATATTTTATTTCTGGTTTTAATATAACCAAGTTTATGTAATTTCTAATTGGAGCGGAAAAAGGCTGCATGTACCTTCTTTCACACTTAGGAAGGAGGCAAACTTCATAGAAATTTGGGTTTGTATCCAGATGTGATAAATTCCTTAAGCTGGGTCCTCCCAGAACTGAGCTCAGTATCTGTATCTGCAGCTGGTTGTAGCCCTGCCTGTTGTGCTTTGTTCAAGGAGGCTTGAGAGCTAGCTTAGTGAAAGCAGGTAAAGGGGATCCAGGCTGGAAGAGAAGGCAGGCTCAGTAGTATCTTCAGCACCTCAGTTGACATCCTAGGGATCCCAACCCATCACACATATATCCTGCAATACCTATGCATTCCAGAATGAATCAAGGACAATCCATAAATTTTAATTCTGACTTTCCTTGCTTTTATTGATCATATGTTAATTGCATTATATTATTTTGTATCACTTAATTTTGTAAAAGCTCTAATTTCAAATTAATCCATCTGGCAGAAGTTTGGATTGAAACAACAGAGAAAAATTATATTTGAAACAAACTATTTATCCATAAGTGCTCACAACACAAATGTCTTGATAAAGTGAGGTAGAATAATAAATGGAAACGTCTCTTAAAACTTCTAGAAAGGTTACACTGAGGCACACTTACTGGAGCATACTACACTTTTCTAGGTTTTCTGCTTTTTTTAATTGTAAAATATGAGTGGATTTACAGGTAAGGAAAAGCTTTGCTCATTCAGCTGTTGGGCCCTGACCAGTGTTCCCTCTAAGATTTTCCATCCATGAGCGGAGTGAGTTTTGTCTTGTACGCCAATACTGAGGTCATGTGCGCTTCTTTGGATGTGCACCACTGTGGCACCCAGCTTATTAACAAATATCATATATATGTATATTTAAAGGATATGGAAGAAAGAATATTAAAACAAGGGATAATTAACAAGGTGCATGATTTTAAATGTTTATTTAATATGAAGTCAAATAAAAAGAAAATTCATATTGCAAAATTTTCAGTAGCCAACTGACTGTTTATAGCCCTCTCCTAGGCCCTCCCTTGGCTGGGCTTGTGCCTCAATTAAATCTGGTTCTCCTTTCAGAGAACTATGTTAATTGGCCTTTCGGACTAACATTTTTGAGCAAGACAAAACTCACTCCATTCATGGATGGAAAATCTTTGAGGGAACACTGGTCGTACACAACATTCTTATAAGCAAATTAGGGAAATTTCTAGAATCTAGATCTAGAAGACCCAGAGGGACCCTGATAACCATCTCCAAATACATTAAAAGATTCAATGACCTTGTAATATCCCTTCGAGCCCTACAGTTCTAAGATATTTGAACATTTAAAGCAACAGGTTTATTGAAGAAAATGTTCACATAGAGATGCTAGATTAAATATAATTTAAATGAAATACTTGGTGTTTTACTTTTGAGGTTTAGCTATAATAGCCATCCAAGAATTATTTTAATAAAGAGTGATAATATCCTGTCATTTTAAGAGTATTAAAATTGACCCAAACAGATATCTGGCTCAACCTTCAAATGATAAATCATCGTCCCATGCCCCTCAGCGCACCCTCTGCCCCTTCCCATCCTGCCCCCACATTGCTGTGCCCCCAACACACTCACCACAAGGCAACAACGCTGGGACTCACAGCTCCACAGGAGCAGCGCTAGGGCAAGGAGAGGTGTGTGTGTGTGTGCGCGCGCGCGTCCTGCCTGGCTCAACCCTTTGCCTGCAGGCTATAGCTCTGGAGCTGGGGCACATAGAGCCCGAGGCTGTCAAGGGATGGCTTCAGCCCAAAGGAAGCAATGTGGTGCAGCCCAGGCCACGGCTCTGTGGAGCAGGCTCAGCCCCATGCCTTCCAGAAGCAGGAAGCCTGTAGCCTATGTGTGTAGGGGCTAACCCTTTAGCTTCCGGGACTGCATGCCCAGACTGCAGCCCCAGGGATGCATGAGCCTCTCCTGCCCCACCCCCTAGCATCTCTGGCCCCCAGAGCAGCCTTGCTCCACCATACGGCCCAGTCAGTCAGGCCGCATGGCTGCCACAGAGTAGGAACCAGGGCCGTGGTGATGTTGCCCCAGCAGGGAAAGCCTCACCGCTGCCGAGCCGGAATGCAACACTCACCTTCTAGTAGGTAAGTGAGTGCTGCTGAGCAGCTCTACAGAGGACGTGGGAGGGAGCAGAATTTTTTGAGCATGGCTGCCCAGATGCACACCTTAGAGGGAACACTGGCCCTGACCAGCTCAGGGGAAGGACTGGTTCCAGGGAGAAGTCCCTTCGACAGAGCAGTGCTGGGCAGACTCAGGGGAGCTGGAGAGGAGCCCCAGCCTGATATATGCAAGGTTGTAGACCTTCATACAAAGGCCAAGAAGGTGAAAGGGTCATGGGGAAGTGGCCCAGAACACATTGATGGCAGTTAAGGGCAGTGAAAGAGGACAGAACAAGGCTGCTGCTAGAGGGTCCCTGGGCCAGGACGCAGAGTGGAGGGTGGATCCAAGTCACCCTTTTCCCCAACTGCATGCACCTAGCCACCACAAAGTGAGGCCTGCCTGTACAGACTGTGTCTTGCCTGATGCAAGGGGCTAGATTTTGGGGCTGCAGATGGCCACAGTGGCAGGTGGCAGCCTGAGGACTGTTGCTACCCCTGGAAGGGGCCACAATGGAGTGGTGGGCATTGTTAGAGGGCAGTGTTTAAAAGAGAACACCTCAGTCCAGGGAGCAAAGTCTGGTTACAGACAGTGGAGTGGAGTGGTGATGGGCAAGATACCCGCCAACAAGGCAGTGTTCTCCAACTAACTGATCTAATTCCCAATGTGACCAGCAGGAGGCACCACAGTGGTGAGTCAACCCCACTACAATGCTCTTTAAAAAAACTGTGCTGTTTAAAATAACTTACAATGAAAGGGTCACTTACTGGAAAAAGGGCATTGCTTAAAATTTAAGCAGTCAGTAATGGGAAGCGACAGACTTCTAACAATTTAAATCTGTCACAGTTGAATGAATCTGCACTGACAGCAAGACAAGGAAGTGCTAACCTACCTTACCAGGACCTTGGCTATAGCTTGATATGCTCTACCGAGACCAACAACATCACAAAGTTCTGTGGAGATTTCTTTGTAGGCGTTCAAATTCTGAGAGGCAACAAAAAACAAATATATTCAGTACAATATAATACAATATAACTATATAACATCAAACATTCTGCTTTTGATTTAGAATCAATCTGTCCATACAAGGAACTAAGATGTTTTCATTTTTATTATCTACAGAGTGCTACATTTTATCACTATTTCATTTTTTATATGGAACATTTACAAATAAACGTAAGGATGTTCAATTTACTTAAAACACTATTTTGACATTACAGAAAACCAAACAAATATTATGTGATTTATGAAATAATTTGCTTATCTCTAATTGAACAGATTTTAGGAGCTGTGCATATTTTTTAGGAAATCTATGAGTCAATATTTTAAAACAGAATTCTTTGCATTCAAATGTGAAATATTTTGATATGATACACTGAAACGCACATTTTTTTAATTTAAAACACTGAGAATTCAGCTTTGGGTATAGTTTTGAGGGATACAGGAAATTGAATAAATTGTAGGTTGTACATTGAAACTAGGGTTAATCAAAAAAGATTATTGTAGATCATTTTATTACATGCACTACTAATTATTCTGGCACACAAGCAATTTGTTAATACTTGTTTGGAATGCACTCCATTAACGTGACCTCTTCTATAATCAAAGGATTACAGCTGCCACCAAGAAACATATGATCTTAATTTAATTTAACACTGACATCATCTGTATTGCATAATTTTCCTTTTCATCCATTTTTTTCCAATGGGGATGAGGAAAGAAGGCATATAAAATGAAATCCCATTCTTTCCTCCCTCCCTTTTTGTTCCTTGACCCAACCTATTACACACATGAGGACACAGGAAATCTCCAAAGACTGACTATGGAAATCCTTTTTGCACATTTCCAAGAAAGGATTAGTGAATGCCATTTCCCAGACAGAAGGGGGATGGGAGGTGTAAAGGGAAGTATGACAGCACCTTATCTATCCCATGATGCCTGTCTAGGGCAGTTTATGTTATGAGAAAAGAAAGGACACTTTATATTAAAAGCACATTTCTGTTCATCTGGTAAAGTAGAGGGTTCAAAGAAGATCATCATCTCTGTGTCAAGCATCAATGAGCATGGTTTTCAGCACTCTTATTGCTGCTTCCAGCATTCACATTTTTGTTGTCTACTGTGCATGTCTTGTTCAGGAGTGGTAGGATAGTTGATCCAACCGTCAGTGGAGTCTCATTCTATTTTTAAGTAATCTAAAGTAGGTATGTACTGAAAAGGCACATTTGCAATGTGTATTCTGCACTATTTACTCTTCAATACCTCATAAATAGAGCTCCGTTCTTCATACTCAGCAGTATTACTTCCTGTGTTTTGAAGGGCATTGTGAATTGAAGCACTGAGACAAATGAGATGTCAAATAGAGAACATAAGACAGTGGTCATAAGACCTCATCGCACCAGTTTGGAACTCTCTCTTGTGTGCATGTTAAAATTAAAGTCTTTAATGGTGCAGAATTAAAGAAATTTGGGGCTCTGTGCACTGTGGCAAATGGGGATCCTCTCACCTTTCCTTCTCTTTGCAGAATAGAAGGACTTGGTGGGCTGCTGAGTGTAAACCCATTCCAAGCTCATCCCTCAAAAGCTCCTTTTCTGGGGGGCTGTCCTGGGTCCTTGCTCCAGCCTACTGGCTTTCAACATAATTTGCAAGCAAGGCCTTCCCCCATTATTCCACACTCTGCTTATTCTTAGCCATGGACTGTGATTTTGCAATGGGGGAGAGATGTCCCCCACCCCCAGTGGTCCTGGAGCCCTGTGGTATGGAGGCCCTGTGCAAATGTATTGAATATACATTGGTCAATCCAAGCCTGGTGTTTGTGGCATCAGTAAATTTTCCTAGGATTCCATCTTGAGGCACAGACATGGATGATATTAAAATCTTTTTACAGCACCAGTATCCAAGATTTAAAGAAAGAGTTTGCAATTAACTCGAGATGACCAATTCCTTGAACAGTATTTGTGCACATATCAGATATTCTGCCATATCCATATGGAGATGTTTCCAAAAGTATTCCATGCTGGGCTGATATTGCTCCTAGTTTAGATAGGGCTTCTAAAGACCAAAAACTGCAAGAGAAATTTGCTTAGGTATGAGGAGTCTGCCACTTTCATTCTAACCAAGGAGTCCAACAGAAAAATAGGTAGAATTGGCCAGGGAAGAGGTTTGGCTAGAATGTCTGGGGCAATGAGCTAAATGAGTATCTTGCTGCTGCAGCTATGTGCCAGGATAGCTCTCAAAAGAAAGTAAAGCTGCTCCCTCTAGATAGAAATCCTTAGAGAAGGCAGGGGTGGTTATACCACTTGTACGCCCCAAAGAATGGTTTTCCCAACTGGGTTGCTGGAGCCATAGTACAAGGAGATGCAGTGGGTGTCTACTAGCACTCAGAATTCTCAAATGCCCCCATTTGAGGGACTTTACTTATTTAGGCCTCAAAGTTACCTACACTCCACACAAATCTGATCTGCTGTCACTTATATTGTTTAAAACTATTTAAATCTCTTTGAAATAAAGACTCATGAAACCAAGGTTACAAAACATGAACAGGAGAACAAACAAGATATACTGTATGGGTCCACCTCAGACAGTTTCCCCAACTTCAGCCACGTCAGACCTACTAATTAATGAAGAGCATTCTCAAAGGAAAGGAGATGTAGAATTGTTCTTTTGTGCTCTGTTTGCCCAGTATTCACCTAATATGAATGGAACCGGAAAGTCTCCGCTACTGTAAAGGTTTAACCCACAGTTGGGTGAAGGAAAAGGAAAACAATAGACAATACTGTGTACCTAAAGAGACAGATCAAGATATAGGCACTACAGGCCTGTGACAGAACCTCAGGCCCAGGGTCATTCAAGTACATAAAAATGGTAACTTTTAGAAAAAAAACATGTGACTCTAGTCTAACCAATGCAGTAGTGTTTGCCAGAGTCTGCAGTAAGCCTGAAACAACCAGCTTATGCATCTCACAATGGACTGTTAACTCCAAGACTTACTTTTCGGGGCTATGGAGCTCCCGCCAAGCCAACACCAACTGTTAATGGAGTGTCTGTAACAAGAAAATCACTACAGCAGTCCTGACCCATCCACCTACCCAGATTCACTATGACTGCTGGGGTTAATACTGAGGAATTCCTGTTGACTCTTCTAGAAGAGATGAAGGTTGACCCATGCCACATAGGAGTCCATGTCATTGTGTGTTTACAGTGCAGAATGCCTTAATCCAGCCCTTGAAAACTTCTAAAAGGAGACAGTATTTCGGTTAGGTTATAGTAGCTTAATAAAGCAAGTAGGATGGGAGGAAATTAATAAAGTGAGGGGGGTAGGGGAGAATGTAGCTGGTTAGAGCCTGGTAGGATCTCACCAGTGAGGGGATCAGCCATTGAGTGTGGTGAGTATTGGAGTTTTATAGCTGGGAGAAGACAATAATAAGTCAAGCAGGGCATGAGGTGGTGGGGAGAGCAAGGGGGGCAGGAAAGGTTGAGCTTGGAAAGATAGTGGACTAGCCTGAGGAAGGGTCAAATCCTAGCAAAGGAGCTGGTGTAGGTATTTGGAAGAGGGGACAGTGTTTGCATCATCTTAGATGTGTACATCTAGAGAAATTCACACGCTTTCCTCATCAAATTGCTCTGTCACTTGACCATAGGAATCAGGTCAAGGAAGTAGTTCCCCTGGTAGCTACATTCTTTCTTCCTGGCCAATCTGATATTCAGCGGCTATGAAATCACAGCAGTCATGGAGAAGATAAGGCATTAGGGTTTACAGAGCATACAATAACCATAAATTTATGCATATTCGCTGTAATGCTGAAATACCCACAGAGTTTAGTAAAATATTACAAGTAAGAAGTACAAAGAAATGGATTTAACTTTATTTTTATTTGACAGCATGAAATAACAAAGCATTTTATAATAAAATACTATGCATTGCATACTACTCACTGACTTCTGGTAATTTCCTTTGTAAGGAAAATGTGAACACATTCTGGTTTCTCACATTTTGTGTGTGTGTGTGTGTGTGTGTGTATACAAACACACACACACACACACACACAAACTGGACTAGACAGGATAATCTGTACTATTAATGTACTTTGCAGAGGTTTATTTAATACCTGCATGAGTCTGATGAATTTTCTGCTGACAAATCAAAAGAGCAGAACTTACATAGTGTTTATGAGGCTTGGAGTTATTGGAGGGGTATAAAGCGAGTTTAAAAAAATTGCTTTGTACAAGAGATTCTGAGAAAGGCAGAATAATTGAAATGCATGAACTTGATGTTGCTAGGTCTCTTATATAATCTTTTCAAATAAAGGTTGATACGTTTGTACTTTTGGAATCTGGTAGAATGTTCTATGTGCAGTTGAAATGATTAAATTAATGTACAGGTCTTGACATGAGAAGTTATAGCTATTTCACTTTGTTTTGTACCATCAAAAAGAAATTTGAAATAAAATTAACGGAAGAAAAATTCTAAATGAAAATTGAAAAATTTTAGTTCATTTTTCCATAAATCTCTTGTTAGCTTGTGCTGACCAAGTACATTGATGGCTTTATCGCAACCTTCTGCAACTACATGACTCAAAACATTAAGTATTTTATTTGAGCAAGAAAAGCAGCCTCGACACACAAATACACTTCCTTTCTCAACTCATACCTCCCATTTGCCTCCTGTAAAATAGTAGACAAATCCCATACTGGATCAGGGCAAAGAGTTAGTAATCTGTCTAGGATTACCAGATGGTTTCAACAAAAATACCAGACATACTTGACATTGCATCACAATCTACATTACAGCTTATTGAGAAAATACTGGACATTTATATTTTCTCAATTTGTTTCCTGAACAGAAAGCTCAAATACTGGACTGTCCGGTTCAAAACCAGACACCTGGCAACCCTAAATCTGTCCTGCACAACAGGGCTAACGTCAGCTGAGACCCAGAGATATTGAGTCTGAAACAAAAAGGCCATGGTATGAGTAGCTCTGATCTA